TCTTCTTAATAGCAGCTGTGGAATAAGCTGCCCTTGAAATCCATACGGCTCTATCTTTCCATCTTTTTTCAGGCCAAAAAGATATGACACTTTAATGTAATATTTAGACATTAAAGCACGTGGCATGGACCGTCCATGAAGTGGCATGGACCCTCATTTCTACTATTAGGTCTTTGTATACTATTGGTATATTGCTATAAAATGATTTTATTTTAATTTGGACTATGTATCTGAAGTGGCAAAGAAATTAATGGCTTGCATGGGGCAAGAAAAGCAGAGAAATCAAGCTTTATAATTTTTTCATGGATTGTGTAACTAGATTATAAACTAACTAAAAGGACAAGGATCTGGTTTGCTGATAAGACTGATTATGTTCCTTCCCTAGCGTAATAAGCATAATAAGCTAAGTGTTCTGATCTGCAAACTGTTAGTTTTGAACACCAAAATTCAGAAGACCAATATGAGATTTCAAAATTACAAAGATTTTTGACAGTGTAAAAAGTGTAGAAGATAATAACAAAATAGTTCAGGGCCTTTACAGTTTACAGTTCAAATAGAATTGTTCAAAAAGTTTACAGTTCAAATAGAAAGCCCAGTAGCTGATGGTTCCTCATTCCTGTCTTAAGAAATGGGAATATACACTCTGAAATCTGAAAGGGCAACTTTGCCCTTCCACAGCCTTTAACATCAACTTACATGTTTTTTAACCATACTATATAAGTTAACCAACTCAGAAGTCTAATACAGTCTTTCTTGTATGTAGTTGCCATTTTAGCAGTAGCCACATTTATGTGTAATTCTGTTTTTGAATTTTCCTTTTGCCATTTGCCTTTTTCCTTTTTTCCGTCCATGACACTCCAGGCATGTGATACTTTATGGATAATTTTTTTAAACTTAAGGTGCCACAAGATTATTGCTTTTGTTGACATCGTTTAGAATATCTTTATTGAGCTATCTATAAACCTACTACAAGCAGAAATGTACACCTAATAGAAAACAATGTTCTTGTTTCCATCATCTCCCTTTCACTTCTTTATCTATGCAAGGTGTCCTTGCTTGTTGACTGTTTTGTTCAGTGACCAAAGTTGGATGTATTTTTTAAAAGAAAGGTTTGCTACTAAGCTTTGCATTTATGACTATTGGAAGATCCCATAACCACCATTCAAAGGCTTTGCAGTTGGCCTGCATTTAAGTCTTCACAGCTTGTCAGTGACAACCATGTGATAGTCATTTGTATGCTTCCCAACTAGCTTGCAACAAGCAGATTTAATGGAGAACATGGGTGTAAAATCAAAGCCATGGTGACATCACACAGCAAACTCAATTATAAGAATTAAAAAATAAGGCTTCTACTTAGTGAGAGGATACAAAAAGTTCTAGCCTTTTTACATATATTTTGAACAAGCTGGTGGAGAGAGAAATTGAGACAAAGAAACAGAGACAGTGGAGGGGAAAACTGGATTCAAAATTCATAGAAAGTCTAGAGCAAAATAATTAATTGACAACGACAAAAAAAAACACCTTCAGTACAGATCATTAATATTAAAATAGTGTTGTATATAAGTAAGCAAAAAGACATGAAGACCCAGAATTCTACAGCAGAATCCATTTTGTGATATAAATATTGTGGACTTAAAAGAATACTGTCTCTACACATGCATTTATAAATATTGTTAAAGCAGTATTACTCACTACCTATAGAACAGATATGGAAAGCCAGACTGTTATTGTTATTGCTGTACTGAAGGGTATTGTCTGTAAAGTAGATTTACATTCCAGAGTAGGCCACTAATTCTCAACCCCAGCCATTTTAAGAATTCCCCTCCAGTTTCTTGGATTAAGAAACACTGGAGTAAAAAGAATAAAGTAAACAAAATAATTCATTATATTGAATAATTTTAAATGGAATTGTGAACAAAGGATGAACATGTAATAGTTAAAATGTATAAACTTTTAGTGAAATTTGGAACAAGAACAGGTTAAAGAGTGTATGGTAAAATAGGCTAAAACTTTGATTATAATATACAAATGGAACAATGGGAAAATATGATTGAAATGATTGAAATTTACATTATGTAAAAATATAATCTTAAAGAGAATTTTTATAAAATAATCTACTGTTGGTATGTAACACCAAAAATATATATCTAGAATGTATAAAGGCACTTCACATTTATGTTGGAAATGTGAATAAGAAATGCTTTGTAGATTTGTCAAAAAGCTAGAAAATTTTGAATTCAAACACATATAGTGATTCAGAGGATTTTAAAGATTAACATCAACTGAAACTAAAAAATTTCCTCCTGTAGTGATGGATAAACAATTAGTAAAGAATCATGGAACAGTTTTTCATATGTAACTGCAGCTAGATTATTGCATGCACAAAGATGGAATGATTTGCAAATACCTGCAATGAAGAAATGGTTGGTGAAGTTGACAAACATGCTGAATTGGCTAAATTGACTTATTTGATTAAAGAAAAGGCAATATGTATATTTGTTAATGTCTGGAAACTCCTACGGAATTTTTGCACAAATAAAAATGAACTTATAATTTATGCTTTGATGATTAGACAGGATAGATTATAGAAAGAAGAATGTTATGTTGCAACCAGAGAATAAGAGGAAAAAAATATAATACAGCACTTATAACTGCTGTAAAAAGAAGATCAGAAGCCATTTCTTTACATTTTCTTTTGTTTTTCTTTTTGCACTTTTTCTTTTCTTTTTTCTTTTCCCTTCTTCTATTCTATTTTAGTTTATATTAGTTCTTATTAAAATTTCCAATAAATTTAATGTGTATGTATGAGTTCATGTGAGAGAGAAAAAAATGAGAGTGTATGACAGTGAGACAGGGTGTGTGTCTGTGTGAATGTTTGTGTGAAACACTGGAATAGAGCTTTTAGCAGTGTATGTAGAATGAATAGAATGCTGGGGGCTTCACTCCCAAAAGCAATTGTGAGACATAAAAAACTGTATTTGATTCAATTTAGAATTAATTAAATATACTTGTATTTAATATGATCACTCTCCATTCTATTTTCCTTCTATCACATTAGCAATTAAAGTTTCATCATTGCTATTTTTAAAATGTTTTAAACAATTAGGGGGAAATTAGCATATATTATACAGTAGGTCTAATCCTAATAATATTTTTACAGGGTGGCATATGCTGTTCTTTTTAACTCCGGTGAAGAATCCAGATATTCTTCTAAGTTAAGGATCCAGTTAATATGTTTAAAGTTTAACCCTGCTCTATCATGGCTCCAGAAATGACAGACAGCTTACAAGGCCATGGCAGAGGTCGTCTACTCAGGAAAATTTCACAAAGAAGGGATTCCTTTGTCAAGCAGCCCTCAAACACTACAAGTCACCCTGCTCTGTCTTCACTAATTAAACTTGATGGCAAGAGTTGGGTTCCACCTGGATTTTTATTAACAGAACATTCTGTTCCTCTCCAAGGCCAACAAGTCATGTCCTTCTAACATTGGCCAATGGCCAACTGGCAGCCCCTAGATTGAAGCTGGCACCACCACCATTGAGTCAAAGATTATACTAGAAGTCCCCTGAGCCGCTTAATTCTCTTCCCACTGGGAAAAAAACAGGACTCTGATGAAGTCAAGAAAGCAAATAATTGCAGAAGGACATAGTTTTCAATGGTTTTCATTTGCATAGTTAGATGGACATTGGGGAGAAAATGTGGGTAACTAGTATTGAATTTACATTGTGTCCTAATTTAAGAGAGCTTTTTTAATAAAATGATGTGTTGTTGGTATATGATAACAAGGAACTTACAAAATATGTGCAAATGTATTTCAAACGAGTGTTGGAAATCTGAAAAGCTTGAGGGAACTTTTTATCATGCATAGTGGATTTGTGAGAAAGCTGAGAAATCACAATGATGTAAAGGATTTTAAAGATTAATGTTGCAAAGAAATTGAAATTGGTTATACTTTGACTTATGGACAATGAATTGGAAAAGACTCATGTTACATTGATTTTGTCTATGGTAACTGCAACATTATTGTATTCACAACGATGTAAAAATAATGAAATTCCCACAGTGGGTGAATGGATTGAGAAAATGTCAAATGACAAAATTGACCTGTCTGTTTAGAGAAACAAACAAACAAAAAATTCTGAAACTTTTTTTGCTGAAAAAAGAAATAAATATGGTTTATGGATTTGAAGATTATAAAATGGGCTAGTCCTCTAAATAAGTAGATAGATACCTATCTACTTATCTAGAGGGCTAGCCCATACCCTTGAATGCCTACAACATATGTCAAGATGGCTTTTGTCTACTTTTACTGTACTCTTAGATACAAATGTCTAGTAGAATGGGGGGGGGGGTGAATTTTATTTCAATATTGCTAACAGGACAGCTTTTTCTTCCTGAAATTAGGGAAACATGGCACACAGTCAGTAAGGACCTATCTATGCCAGACCCATGTTCACCTTCAGACACTGAGTGATTTTAGGCAACTCATTTTCCATTTTCTTTTAGCCTAAATTCTGCATAAGAATATAGTCACAAAAAAATGGAGATGAGAGCGCTAGTTACCCCACCCTGAAATCCTGAAGAGAAGGCAGGATGTAAATATAATACATGAAATAAAAATGTTCCTGTCTATCTTATGATGAACCAGAAGATTCTAATGGAGGCTCTTCCTCTAGGAAGTCTCACCTCAACTGTGCTTGGACTTTTATTTCTGGGCTTTAGTATCTTATTTCTTCAGTCCCATCTCAGAGTATAATTGCTTTTGTAACTTATGTACCATATTCAAATGCATGCAGCTATAAACTTTGAATAATATGTCTAAATTGTTAATTTACTTTTATGTAAGGCATACATAAAGTCTAGAAAAACTTTAAACAAAGTAGAGTTTGCTAAAGATTACAAATTTGCTGAAGAAATCATGACGCGTCATCCCAAGGGACAAAGCATTATATACAAACAAAATATCAAAAAGTATTTTTTTTAAAAAAGAATGTTCTTACCTTGTTTCCATTGAATTAGCATGTGTATCTCTAGCTGGGCAACAGAGCACTAAAAACATCAATTAGGAAGCAAATTGCCCCCGTTCTTGTTTTTCTCTCCTGTCTGCTATTTGAAAAAGGTCAAAAATAAAAAAAACAAAATAGAGACCCCACACCCACTGTGTGGAAACCTTTAGAGTGGCTAGGAAACACTGGCAAACAGGAGCCTAGAAGCAGTTGCTGCCAAAGAATGACTGCGTTCACCATTCTATAATTTTGGAAGAAATGCTATAGCTCTATCTTAATGGGTTTTTTTTCCAGTACTTACAGCAGAAACAGTTAATTTCTGGAGTTAATCAGCGCAGCATATGAAGGTCACTAGTCCCACAGTGGCATTAGGAAAAAACAAAGGTAGCATCAGTCCTGGAGCAGTGTTATTCCTGTTTGTAGACTGCTCTAATCAACCAGTGGAAAATTAGTAAGAGAGCCACATGTTTTTGAGCTTAACACCTGCCTCTTTTCATTTTCTATTGAACAGTTAGATAACTGAATATTTTAAAAGAGTTAGCACTTAACAATTTAGAGTGAGTAGACATGTGGAAAAAGCGCTAAGAAAGACAATCTGGCTCCTTACAATTTTTCCTTAGGCCCTAAGATGGTGATGGCCCAAGGTTCTTATTTGAGTGGATATAGAATAAGGGCACACAATGTTATGCTCCCACCAGAACCGACATATTTTTAATAAAAAATAAAAAAGGCCAAAAAACCTATATCATGAGGTTTGATTTGTAGCACTAGAAGGCTGTAGCATCCCAAATTACCCAGATTATTGTGAGGAACCTGGCAACCAACGAAAGACAGAAACACCTTATTATGTCAACATAGAAACCTGAAGTCACACTGAAAGTATAGTGGTTTGCACCTGAATGGCAAGGAATGACTCCATTGTTTAATCATACTTTTTTTCTTTTGTAAAATCCCTGATCTGTAGTAATACAAATATTGATTTGGAATTGCAGTTACAGGTGTTTCTATTTTATGACTCAGAGAATAATAAGCAATCCAATTTACGTTTTCAAAACCATTACTTTACTTGCCTTCTGTTAAAATACCCAAATACTATATGTTATCGGTGCAACAGGCACACACATTCATGGTTAAGCTATACTATTTGACTATTTTGAATTCTCAGTTACAAGGAACAATAGAAGTTTAGAATATTGTTTAATAACAATATTAGGATATACAATTGTTGATTGATAATATGAGTTACTATGGGAGTTGTAGTCCTTATATTTAAAGCAGTGTTTCTCAGCTTCTTAGCCCAGGATCTGGGCACTGAAAATCCACACATCCTCACGCTGCCACATTTGAGAAACACTGAGCTAAAGGTCTGGAAGACGAATGGGAATGGGAATTTATTAATTTACAATTTATAGGTTCCCCTTCTACACATGATTCAGGGTATCTTACAATAGTCTTTTAAACCTATCAAAAAGTTAAATGATATAGTTTTTAATTGCAATTAGTACTCAAATTAATATGCATATTAATTGATAGAGTGTCCATTATTAATACTTAAAAGGCATTGTCAGAAGGGTTAGATATAACAATTCTGGAAATTATGCTCATAGTATAATTTGTCATATTGATCCACATATTTTCTTATCTCTTATCCTAGTACACTTTTCCAAACTAAGATAAATGTATACTGAAACTGAGATTACTTAATTATAATCTGTTTCCCTGTGATTTTCCTTTGTCCCACTCCTCCTGTTTTCATCTTTGTTCCAGAAATATAAACAGGAAAGGAAGACTGCAATCTTAACAGGAAACAAATAGCAGGAAGAGTAAGAGTTTTTTTTTTTTTTTTTAAGGAGATAGGAAGTTACAAAAGTAGCTTTAAAACTCTGTGCGGGTTTATGTATATATTTATAAAAACAACTTTAAAAAAAAATCCAGAGAAAAAGAAAAATCATATTTCAAAGGAATGTGAGAAAACACAAGAAAATATTAAAACAAATTCAGGCACAAAAGCCTTCAAAAATCTTACATTACAGATGTTAGATTTGAACTACAATGCTATCTACACATATTCAAAACTGGAGCAAGATTGTGGATTTTACTCCTCAATAAATAATATAACAGGCAGCTTGTCTTTCAGTTCACTAGCAGACACCCCCCCCCCATCCTCAATCTGACCTTTTCTAACTCCAGATTTAAGAAGGAAAAAGGGAAGCAAAGGGAGTTAGAAAACAGAGGGAGAGATAAACAAGCTTACCTGACACTGGCGACTTGTGGTTCCGCTGTTGCTCCACTCTCAGAACTGGGGAATCCTGTTTAGTTTGAATCCTTTATCTACCTGCCTCCAAAGTTGCCACACCTCTTTCTCTTGACATCACAGCCGGCCAAAACACACACACAAGCAGACTAGAATTAACCACAGGTAATAGAGCAGGTGCACCATAATTTCAAGCTCCTTTCTTCTTGACAGCATTTTAGAGAGTTTTATGGTTAACTTGCTTAACTTTCCTTCGTCGGGGACATTCCTTTTCCACTTCTCCATTCTACTTTGTTTGTTTTTCAGTCAGTTCTTGGGGTTATTCATACCATTTCAGACTTTACTAGACTAGCAGGGAAAGGTCTTTGAGTGTTATTATAATAAGTCTGATAAAGCCAGACTTGACAACTTCAAAAAAGTAAACCCTGGGATGGGGAACGTTGGGAGAGGCAGAAGAAGATGGAGAATGAAAGATCATATTTCTGGTTAATGTGCACATTGGCACCTGGCATTTATAATTTTGCCCAGAGATAAATGTTATTAGAACACTGACCTCGAACTGATTTCAATCTACGTAACAAACCTCAAAGTCCATCATATAGGATAATTAGATATTCAGAAAAGGATTCTATGTGAAAGAAATTTTAATTTTTTTAGAAAAAAGGTTTAAAAAAAGCATTGCTATTTAATTACGTTTTACAAAAGACACTTGTGACACTAGACCAACTGTTAGGAATGTAAGTCACCTAACAGTTAGTTGGGTTGGAAAATATATAAACCAGGATAGACATTTTAATACTGTTTCGTTAAGGGAATGCTAAAATGGTAATTGGGTTTGGTTCCTCAAACGGGCATAAGATGAAGCCAGAAACCTGGCTTGTTCCTGTTCTGTCCTTTTTCTGGAGAGTATTGCCGTTCTTGTATTGACTGTTGCTGATCATAGTTGGATTTGATGTAAGTCTGTTACTGAACTGTTTTTGATACTGGACTTTGTTATTTGGATTATCCCTGGACTGAAAACTGACTGCTTTACCTGTGAATGATTTTGGACTGTATTTTGAACTTTGCTTAAAACTTTATTGAAAGTAAAATAAACCTAAATTTACTGTACAGTGTATCTGTGTGCTGTGTGTGTATTATTCAAACACTTCTCTCAAATACGTCTCCCTGTATGCGCTCATTCTCCTAACGGGGAATTACCTCAACACTGGTTATGGGCCCAGGCCATACCAGGCTCAGATAACTGAGAGTTAGTGTGAATGCACAGTACTGTATACAGACAGCTGTTTACTGTTTAATTGTGGGTTACTATCCTGGTAAAGATGGCACAAGACACTTCAACAAGTGATAACCCGGTTGGAATGAACAAACTATGCTTCCTGGTCTATGAAGTGTAGTTTACTTCTGCGTAGAGAAGGGTTATGGAATGTAGTTCAAGACCCACCGGATGTAAATACTTGGGATCCAGAAAATGAGGACGATGCCAAGAAGCTTGCTGACTTTAAACGAAACAATGAACGAGCTCTTTGTATAATTGGACTAACACTGAGTGACCAGCAGCTAGTCCATATTCGTGGAGAAGAGTCTGCTGCTAGGTGTTGGGAGAATTTGAAGAGGATTTATGTTCGTGACAGTGTAGGTGCACACATACAACTTACATGTAAACTGTTTAGAGCACATCTTCTGAAAGGTGGAGATATGTTAGCTCATTTGAACTTCATGAAAAGAACTTTTCAGGAGCTACATGAAAAGGAACTGATATTTTCTGAGCTGCATTAAGTTTACTTCATTCTTTCCTCATTGGATGAAAGTTATGACGATTATGTATCTTTACTGGAAGTCCTGCCCAGAGATAAACTGACACTGACTGACATAGTTCCTCAAACGGCCATAAGATGAAGCCAGAAACTTGGCTTGTTCCTGTTCTGTCCTTTTTCTGGAGAGTGTTGCCGTTCCTGTATTGACTGTTGCTGATCATAGTTGGATTTGATGTAAGTCTGTTACTGAATTGTTTTTGATGCTGGACTTTGTTATTTGGATTATCCCTGGACTGAAAACTGACTGCTTTAATGTGAATGACTTGGACTGTGTTTGTTGAACTTTGCTTAACCGTTTTACTGGAAGTAAAAACCTACATTTTACTATACAGTGTGGCTGTGTGCTGTTTGTGTGTTATTCTTCACCACTCTCACTACGTCTCCCTGTGTGTGCTCATTTTCCTAATGGGGAATTACCTCAACACCAACATAACTCAAACCATCTTTAATGGAAAGCAAAGCTACAATCTTTTTTATCAAGGTTTTGTCTTCCAGTAGTTTTCAAGCTTTCTAGCAGCTTTTTCTTTATTCTGCTATAGATGGCATATATGTTTGATAAGAGAATGCAATATGGTAGAGAAATGAGGAAAGAAAAATATTGTAAGGCATATTTCAACCCAATTTTTCCATAATTCTCATTTCTGAATTAAGAATACATAGCAGCAACAGGTGGAGTTACTTATTATCCTTGATGATGATTTCCATATTACCTAGGGACGAGGGAGGTAGCATTTTGTCAACAACTGGAGGAAAACAATTTTCTCTCTGCTCTAGAACAAGGCCCAAAGTCCATTGTGGTTGCATTTTGTAAATTGTTTTTAGGATAAGTGTGATGAGAAGTACAAATGATCTTTGAATATTTTCCAAATACTGAGTTGCTCCAAGGTGCAGTTTAAAAAATAGCATCACAGGTAGGCTTCAACTTACAAGTTACAACCATTCATTTAGCCACCATTTAAATCTAGAATTGCAGTGAAAAAAAGTCACAACCAATCCTTGCACTTAACAACCACCACAGCATTCAGAGTCATGGGATCAAAAATTGGGTGCTTGGTAAATGGAAATTCTGGTCCCAGTTGTGTTGTAAGTCAAGGACTATCTGTATAAAATATTCCCTGTTTGGTATTATGGTCCATGTATCTCTAGTTTACTGAGTTAAATCTCAGATTTTCCCAATTTAGTAATCTTGGAATATATTAGACTACAATTTCTTATTGAATTTTTAGAATTCTCTTGTTGCTGTCTCATTACACTGAATGCATTCAGAAACATTGTCTGAACATGGCTTATATTTTCCATGATTTAGTCATTCATAAGCTTATCATTAATTAATGTTTCATTTTAAATACATTCTTATATTTTTTCCATCACTTATAACAAAAGAAAAAAATAATGTCCAAAGTAATAAAATTTATTTGGAATGTTAACGCTGCAAATCTCTCGTCTTATGCTCAGTTATATGGAGGTGTAAATAAGATTGTATCATAGAATCCTCAGAAACTTCTTGAGATCTGGTTAACCTTTTCTAAGGAAATTCGCCCCTTGCTATATAGTGACAGTTATAAATTTCTTACAGCGCAGATACTTCGTCCACACATCTATCTCTGTTGAATGCATGCTTTCCAGAAAGGAAATCTTTCTTTTTGTTACTGCACTCGTCAAATCACTGTACATGTGTGGCCCAACATTACAGCCTCTCCTTATATCGCCCAAACTAATAACCTCTCAGTTCATAAAAAGGAATAGCACACTTTTCAGAATCAGAACACCGTTTCTCAATTTCAAAGAATAGCCTGGGCATCTCTATCAATAATCTCAAATGTCATGAGGTTTCAACAAAGTTTTATAAAGGAATATTGAGATTTTTGTGACATTTAATAAGATTGATATATTTGCTTTCTTTTCAAAAAAACATTAAATTTTAGGAAATAATAACTACTGTTAAGCTTAATTACACAATTATTCACAAACATCCAATTAGTGTTATTTTTCCTCATACTGTTAAAATTCATGAAATAAAAAAATGACTTTATTGAATATTTGTGAAATTATTATTAGAAAACTATTGATTTGTTACAGGATCCAGTTCTCCATTTCTTCACTGCCCTGTCTGGTCTTGAAT